CTAAACATTGTTTCTTCCCAAAATTCTCTTTAGGAGGGATCTTCTTAGTCATGTGGAGCCATCCGTAGGCTCTATGCCTGTCTTTGTTCCAGAATTTCATCGCATCTAGAGCACTAGCTTTTGTGCATGACTCGTCTTGTGAACAGGTGCTTTATCATTTTTGTAAATCATTTTATTCTTATACTCACCTTTCATGCATTCATCTAAGTATTTGTTGCATACCCACCATGCACAGGCACAGTACTATGGGTCTTTTTGGTTACAGTCCATAACACATTCAGTTACTCGAACCAACATTCTCACAGCACAAAGTTGTAAAGTACCTACTCAACCAAGACATGACATAAATAACTCTCAGTACTATAATTACGTTCTGTGAATGGCAATGCCAGTTTTTTGCTGTAAAGTGTTAGGCTTTTCCATGGGTGGGTGTTCCAATAGCCTTAGAGTAAGTTAGCTTTTTCTGGGTAGGCATCAAATGTTTAGTCCCTTGAACATGGCCAAGGAGATAATATCTCTGTGTCCTTTGATAGGGCAAGAATTCATCATGTTTGCCTTCTTTTGTTCCAAACAACAATCACATCACCAAGTTTCTGTTAATTATTAAATAATATAATAATTATTATAATTATTGATAATATTGATAAATTATTATTTGTAGATCAAAAAAACTGAGTCTTAAAGATGTTCAAAATAATTATTGAAATAGTTCAACATCTTAAATTTTCCCCTATGCTTTTCTTCTGGAATAAGAAAGACCCTTTCCTCTTTAACAGTGTGAATCAAAACCCAGTCCCAATGAGATGAGCATACTATCACTCTCAGCTACACACATTCCCATAAATTCAACTACCCTAACAAAAGTGCTAATATGTGGTCTCCCTGTAAGTAAAAGTGTAGTTAAGGACCTTCTTTTGACGTGGGTAGGGGTGAAAGAGCAGTAAGTGTGGGTCAAAAGGTAAAGAGATGCATGGGCTAGTCAGCAGGGACAATTTCTAGAGCCAGAATTTGCCTTAGACCAAGGACATGGGACAACATGGCATGTTCTGTTAAAGTTTATTCCTGGAATAAGAGCATTACCAAACAAGAGCAGTGTCTCAAAGATTATTTGGTTCAAATTCCTTCCTGAAAAAAATAGCTATAGACCATCTTTCTCCGGTGAACATCTAGTATCTGCTTAAGATAAGCTACTCACTAACTTATAGGACTATATTTTCTCCTGTTGGACAGCTGTGGTGCATTAGTTTTCTATTGCAGCATAACAAACTTAGTGACTTAAAACAACAGAAATTTATTATCTCACAGTTTCTGTGGGTTAGGAGTCTCATTAGCTGGGTCATTTGCTCAGTGTCTCAAAAAACTGAGATCAAGGTGTCATCTAGGCTGTGTTCCTTCTGGAAACCAAGGGCCTCTTTCAAGATCTCATGTTTATTGGCAGGATTCAGTTGTTTGTAGCTCTGAGATAGAGATGCCCATTCTTATGCTGGTTGTCAGCCAGAAGTTGCTCTCAGTTCTTAGTTCTTAGAGACAGTCAGAGTTCCTACCACACTGAGCCTTCCAACGTCAAAGAGGCAATGGAGAAACTCCCTTGGATCAAGCCCCTCTCACACTCTAAATCTCTCTATCTTCAGAAAGGACACAATATCTTTTCTGGCCCACCTGATTAGGCGAGGCCTACCCAGACAATCTCCCTTTTGATGAACTCAGCTGAGTCCAAGTTAATTACAGCTGTAAAATCCATTTTGCCACATAACATAACGTAATCACAGGAATTACAGCTTATTGTATTTAAATGGGTTCCACCACACTCAACTGAAGGGAATTATACAAGGGCAGGGTCAATGGAGAGTTGTCATGTTAAATTCTGTCACCACAGGTTAGGAAATTCTCCCATAATGAAAATAAATCAGGCTGGGCTCTACCAACTTCTCCTCTGTTCTCCACAACAACCTCTAACTATTGGAAGACAAGTGCCTTGACTGCTCTTTGGGGAACTATTCCCGATGTCTTTTAAATGATTCTTATTTGTGATATCCAGATACCCCTCTAAATACACGATACTTTTTGTGTGAATCTTAGAATTAAATATAACTCCCTAGAGGTTTCCTAAATAGTACAGATTATAACAGGACTATTACTTCTATTATGCAGAACAGACTTCTATTGAGACATCCAAGGACTAATGTTTTATAGCAATATCATCCTAGCAACTAAAATTCAACCATAACCAAATAAAGAACTTTAATTGCTTTCTCATGCATAGCTACTAAGCTCAAGTCATTGATATCCCCACTTTCTGTCACCTAGATTGTTATCTCTTTCTCATAGTGAGGTGTCAGTTGCAGATTAGATAAGCTTGCCTTCATCCAAGCTGTTAATATAAATGTGACAAAAGACAAGAAAGAGCCACTAGGGCACAATTTTTATTTTCTTATTTGATCCTTTGAGTAGGGTTTGTGTGTGTGTGTCTTTTAATGGAAGATGAAGAGTATATGACATTGTTTAAAATAATTTAGACACTCCAAGTTCCTGATTTTTCTTACTAACTCTTCACATACTGTTTTTGTAATTGTAGACCTCAAATGGTTATCACTCCCCAAGTTTAATCAGAGAAAGGGGAAATATTCCCAACCTCAATTTCGCCTACTATACACAGTTCTGCATTTTTCAAATTGCACACCATAAGTCCTGACTCCTTGGATGTAAATGAACTCTTTATATTTTCATAGCACTTCCCATATTTCATATGTGGCCCTTGAAAACGTTTTAAGTCAGGAGGGATAAGTGATGTTGTTCTTGGGCAACTAGCAAGGTCCCAAAAGTTATCCACAGCACATGGTTAGCAGTGGGTCTTTGTCTAAAGCCCATGTCTGCTCTCTTAGAGTCCAGGAGTCCTCCACTGTTCCCGAGGAAAAAGTTACCATGAAGTGAAGTGCTCTCCTGTCAAATGTGTCCTCCATACCAAGTAGCCATTTTGCCCTCTGGAGCTGCTTCCAGTTGTAATATTGACACTTTAATTTGGTAGGTGTTTGTACAGAGGGGAGGGCACCAACCGAATGGCTGGGCTTTGCAACTCATGTGAATACAGCGTCTCTTGTGTCTCAGGGACAGAATCAAGATCATCTTTAGAAAGTAAATGCAGCAAGAATGGCCAAGGAGGATCCTGAAATAAATGCTAACATTGCGCACAGTGTGCCTCCAGACATGCCTGGCTGAGGAGAGATATCTCTGTGATTAAGAGAATTAAAATACTAGGCTATAAACTTTAAAAATATGCACATAGGGAAAAATAAAGAGCTACCAAAGATTTTCATGAACACTTATCTGCACATTGAAATAAACATCAGAACCGGCACAGAATTGTTGAGCAGTGAACACAGGTAAGTAGGTTTTAGTTCTTTAAATCCCTTCAGTCTGAAGACTGTAAGCACTCTACCATTGTCAAGATCAGCACGGTATAATAATAGAAGCCACTGATGTGAATGCATTTGTAATTAAATGTCCTAGTAGCCCTGTTAAAGAAGCAGGTGAAATCAATTTTCATAATGTAGTTCATTTAATCCAACATATCTGAATGTTGTCATTTCAATGTGTAACCAATATAAAATTACTAATGAGATATTTCACTCTTTTTTTTCTTTTACTATCTTCAAAATCTGGTATGTATTTTATACCTATAGCACATTCAGTTTGGTCCAGCTACTTGACTAGTGCTCAAAAACCACATGTGGCCCGTGGCTACCTTCTTGGACAGTGCAGGTATAAATGAAATCACTTATTTTCCTTAGGTTAACAAAGAAGGGTATGTGGAGAGAGGGTGGGTGTGGATTTCCCACAGATCTCATGGGGAACTGGGAGGCCAAGCAGGTAACTGACACCCTTCTGCTATGTGAACCATATCCCTTGGGCCCTTTCCCCCTCCGGTGTGCTCTCTCTGTCCCAGCCCCTATGCTCCTCTCTCTTTCTCATTGTCTAGCTGTAAACACGATTGCAGTGTAAACATCATGGAGTGTGAAGGGGGAAGAAGTGGGCTGGATTTCCTGCCTGTCCCTTGTAGACGGAAGACCTTAGGCAAGTTACTTAACCTCCCTGGTCTCACAGTTCTTTTCTATGAAATAGGTTTAATTCCTTCATCACTGAGTTCCGGGGATCAAATAAAATAACAAATGTAAACTTGTCAGTCTCAAACAGACACTGTAGTTGTCAAGGTTTTAGTGATTTTCTTTTTTTTTTTTAAGATTTTATTATGTATTTATTTGAAAGAAAGAGAGTACACGAGAGAGAGCATGAATGGGGGTGGGGGGAGGGGGCAGAGGGAGAGAGAGAAGCAGACTCCCCACTGAGCAGGGAGCCAGATGTGGTGCTCTATCCGAGGATTCCAGGATCATGATCTGAGCCGAAGGCAGATGCTTAACTGACTGAGCCATTCAGGCGCCCCAGTGATTGTTTTTCAAGATGTATAGATGTTTAGTAGAAAAGGTAACAGGGGAAAAGAGAAAACTTTTTTAAAAATATGTGCTAAATTCTAGGCTACACTACTCTTTTTTCAGTACTTGGTGCTTAAAACCTCTCTATGCTGCCAGCATAACTTCAGCCCAAAGCATACTGAGCCTAAGTTATACAGATACACCCAAAACATAAGAGTAAAAAAAAAGTTTCCATTTTTGCCTGAATTTGCCCAATTACATGACCCAGATGATAAGTGGGAGACACCTCAATGAGCACCATGTGGGGTACACGCTGAATACTCCACGAAATGTCCAAGAAGGAAGGTTCATTTGGTCTGATGCATATGAGGGCAGCAAGAACTCCATCATCTAGAAAACGCAATTTTCTCAGCCCCTGAAATTTCCCCAACTACAAAATCGTACCCTTAGATCTCAGGGAGCTTCACCATACTTAAACCTCTGCAGTTCCTAAAGCCAGCCGCAATATAGTAACACCTGCCCACAGCCTCAGGTACTTTGAGAAGACTGTAATCACAAAAAAGGAAGACTCACCAGTTCATTCTCCTCTCCTTGGTTGAGCAAAGCCCGGTGGTCCTTACTTTTCTCCTCCATCTAAACCAGACCTCTTAGTGGTGTCCCTCCAGGATAATTCTTTGGGGAAAGTCAAAACTAGTTGGGGCTTATGTGAACTCAGAACAGTCACTACTTGTCACTGCTGTTCTTAGGTGCTTTTAAAATCTCTTAGAACGTATCTCACCTATTAGACTAACAAAGAAAAGAGAGGAAATACTCTCCTCAGCCACAGGATTGGTCTATTAATCTATCTTCTTGTGTTTCTTTTTTTTTTTTTCCCCTCCCTGGTGTTTATTTGTTGAGCTAGATGTGAACGCCTCTAGACATAAGTTGTTGAACCAGAAAGACAAATAATTTCCTGTGCTGTCCATGAATGTCTCAGCTAATGAATAAGAATGGCCACTTTAATAAAAACCCAAGACAGGGGTACCTCGGTGACTCAGTCGGTTAAGCGACCAACTCTTGATTTTGGCTCAGGTCATGATCTCAGGGTCATGAGATTGAGCCATGTGTGGGGCTCCACACTCAGCGCAGAGTCTGCTTGTCCCTCTCCCTCTGCTCCTCCCCCTCCCTCTGCTCCTCCCCACACACTCTCTCTCTCAAATGAATAAACAAAATCTTAAAAAAAAAAAAACCCAAGACAAAAAGATTAACCAGTGAGAGAGGAATAAAAACCCTGTGGACTTTGGTAAAGTAATGGACATGTTGGGGTGACTGAGAATTTAAGGAAGGGGGCTTGGCTCATGACCAGGAATGTAGCAGTCATTTTGGAATCAGAAAAACCTGAATTCCAATCCTTGCTCTACTGATGACCCTGGACAGATCACTTAAAATCTGAATTGTAGGTTTCTAATATGTAAAATATCAATAATAATTATAGAGTTGATATGAGGATCTAAGATGATATTTGTAAAAAATCAACTATAGCACCTGTCATACTCAATTAAAAGATAGATAATCATCACCACCATCATCGTAAACCTAGTCGAAAGGATTAGGGAGTTTTTTAAAAAGGAAGTTTTTTAAAAAGCAAACTAGAATAATAATAATTTGATTACTTTCACTTGCTCTTTTTAGTTTGTAAAAAGTTTTCAGATACGTATATAATGCAGGAGAAATGAGAAAGGCTGATTATTAGGGATATCATGAATTTCCACTATTATATAATCACCAATGAATTTGATATTTTTATCAAAAAAATACCCTGGGATCCATTCAAGGGTTGGTTTATTTGTTTCCAATAAAGACTTTTATCTTTTTTTCTTTTTATTGCATCCAGCCCACTGAGCAAGATTCTTGCCACTTTGACCATGGAAGAAAACTTACTGGGAATTAAAACTACCAAGAATAATACTTGACTCTTTCTACTGAGAGGGAGAGTTATTGGTTGCCTTGAGGGGGAACTAGTGCTACTTTGACATTTAGAAGAATCCAGTGTGCTCCCTGGCCAGGAGGAAGTGGATGATGAAAGTAAACAGACAGTTTTTCATGCCAGAGAAGAGGCTACTGAGGTGCCCACACTAAAGAATACTACGTCATCACAAATGTTGCATTTTAAGTATCGCCAATCAGAGAGCTCAAATTTGGAGAAAGGAGTCTTGAGTTTTAGTAAAATCTAATTAAAGACTTGAGGAGTGGTGCTCATTCACTTCTTACCCGTCAACTATTCACTCATATTTCTGGCTAACAGAACATCTCTTTGTCTGGGCAGTCTGACTTCAGCTAAAGCACCAGGATGAATCATGACTGACCTAAGAGTGGGCATGTGACCCAGTTTTCAACAATAAGATTCAAAGGAAGGACAATTGGGGGCAGAGGTTTTATGGAAAAGATTATCCTATTTTTTAAAATTATCCTATTGATGAAAGAGAGAGAATAACTTATTTTCTACCCATGCCAATGATGTGGAGTCAAGGACAAAAGAGCTTAGATCCTATGATACCACTAAGCCATGGCACTAAGCCTGGGACTACTAACTCTAGACATCTATCTAATACATAATGAGATGTTCTTAATAAAACTGCTCCTGTTTGTGGTTTCTGCTACTTATAGACCAAAGACACAAAATATAACACTCATCAAAACTTTGTTCAACACTTACTCAGCAATTACATGTTTAACAACAGATATTCCAGACACTTTGCTAGCCCCTTGGGATTCAGCAGCAAAAGGAAAGTCGTTACCCTGAGGGAATTTACAGTTGCATGGGAGAGTCAGGCAAATAACAGCCTCTTAAATAGGAAGGATCTAGAACTCAGACTGAATGAGACAAGAACAGCTTCCTGAAGGAAATAACATCTATGCTGACATCTCAAAGATGAGCAAAAACTAACCAGGTGGAAGGAATGAAGGATAATGGTGGGTTATGAGCACAACTAGGCCAGAGAACAGAACAGAATTTGTGAAAAGGTTCAAGGGATATGAGAAAATATAGCCTGTATAGTGTATCAAGAGAAATCAAAGTAAGACTTGAGAATGGAGGGAAAGAAGGGAGGCACTGAGCAATGATGACGGAGATGTGAACAGAGGTGTGCCCGGCCACTAAGAGCTTGTACACCAGGCCAAACTGTTAGTCCATTCTTTGGGGAAGGGGGGTGTATTTTTTTTTTTTTTTTTTTTTGCTTTGTATGTGAACAGAGGGCTTTCTCTACTCACCAAGCCCAAGACCTTAGCTTCTTTCTACTGATGACCAATATTCTTTCAGTTAAATATGAACTCTTCTAATAATCACAACTGTTCACAATGCCTCACAGGTAATGAGTTTTCCAACCCCAGAGGTGCGCCTGCTGACATTTGGCCTATTCACCATACAGATAATTAAGTTATTAGGTCAAAGTTTGTATTAGGTGATCTTGAGGTTCTATAAGTACGGAGCACTTGCTTCAGCCACCAGAGGATTTGCTCTGCAGAGAAAATAACATCTGCTTTAATCCCTACCTCCTGGAGGATCTGCAACGGATATTAAAGGTCAAAGTATCTACTTTCAGATGTCCATAAGTAAGATAATGCCAGTCACACCCCCATGGCTTAGTCAGCCCCCTTCCACAGGTGGAAGACTCACCAATTGTGTTTATGTATGTAGCAGGGGGGTGGGGACATAGGGGTGGGGGATGGGGAAAGGATGAAAGGGTCTCTTGTGGGAGAAGCAGCCTCAACATTGGTGGGAATGGCTTCCTCTAGACTGCTCAGTCATAGCACTCGGGAGATTGTAACTTAAGTTGGGACTCTCCAGATCTTTTCTATCTGAAGAGACCAGATTCTTGATCCCCTGTGACTGGAAGTAAAACACAGTGCATCCTGGTGAACCCTGAAGGCAAATTCCTTATTAATGAGAAGTTGTCAGCACCATATGCCATAAGGTAGGGTCTCCAGAGGCAGGAGGGAGGAAGGAGCAGAATGAGGAAATGTAAAAGAAAAGGAGTGAAATGCTCACCGCACAGGGGCCTGAAGAACTGATCCCCCCGCAGAAGCCTAGTCTTAGACCTTACAAGGCCTTACTGTTTAGACTGAGGAGAATCTCATCTCCTCCCCCAGTCCCTGACTCAAGACACAATTTCCAAAAAACAGGAAAGAAACATGGAGATGAAAAGAGGTTTGCTCAGAGCTACACAGCAAAATAAAGGCAGATCCAGAACTCAGAGCCAGGGCTCTGGTCTGTGGTCCAGCTTATTTCCACTAGGTAATACTTCCTCCTCTTCTGCTGTATTTGTTCTAGAACTCTTCTCTGATTCTGGAGAGATGAAGGACATGGGGGATTATAGGGATTAGGAAAGAAACGATGTCTCCACCCCTAGTCCCTAAGGCTTATGAAGTGAAAAGGCAGTAAGCATGGTGCGGTATGTTAGAACTATGCCTCACCCTCCTGCTTGGCAGGGACAAGATTCCCTGTCCCCACTTCCCCATGAACCTAAAGGGAAGCTAGTCTGGACTTAGATGTCTTACCTAGATTTCAAAGCTCCCTTGCTGTTCTCTCTACTAACTACTGGGGCCTCACGAGAGTATCCCATTTCACAAACATTGTTGAATGTCTACACGGGCAAGACTGTTTATTTAAGGTAAGCCGACTGCTAGAATAGCAACAAATGATAACATTTATCAATGGTTTAACATAGTGGAAGAGCGGGTCTAAGATTGAGGTGGTGGGAGGGCCCTGGTAGAGCAGTTAGGGGAAGAGGAGTTCTCCTCCAAGCAGTGATCCTGAATCCCAGGGTTCTTCCCTCTTGTGTCTTCATCATCTTCAGCAAGTAGCTTCCAAAGCTGCTGTGATTATACAAAAAGGGGATGCATGGAGGATAATCAGGGAAGGTCTCTATGGACCAGTCCTGAAACAGGTACTTTGTATTTGTGCTAGAAGATTGGCTAGAATTCAGCCAAAGAGCTATACTGGACTAACTGCAAAGTTGACTAGGAAATGTGATTGTATGCTTTTCTGTGAGGGCTTCCTGAAGAATAGCAGCCCTGAGCTCCCCACTCTGGGGATGCGGAATGCAGGGTGATTCCATTCCCCCCTACCCCACCCCACCCATCAGCACGGAATGACTTCAGGGAGCAAAGCAGTGCCAACCAGTGGAGCCTGGAGCTGCTTACACCACGCCCTAGCCCCCTGAGCCCTGGAAGTGTATCTGGACTTGGGCAAATCGCCTGAGAATCAGAACAGCAGGCCCTTCCCACACAGAAACCCCTTGGCCACACCAAATCTACTGATTAGAAAGTGCTGCAAAGCTTCGGCTCTGGAAGAAATAGGATCTAGCTTCTTTTTTATTTTTTATTTTTATTTTTTTGTTTTTAAAATTCTTGATTTATTTATTATTATTATTATTATTATCTAGCTTATTTTAATGAGCAGACCAAAAAACACCTAGGCTCTAGCTTCCATATCTTTTGTTTGTTTGTTTTATTTTGTTTTGTTTTGTTTTGATCTAGCTTATTTTTTTTAATTTTTTTATTGTTATGTTAATCACCATACATTACATCATTAGTTCTTGATGTAGTGTTCCATGATTCATTGTTTGTGCATAACACCCTGTGCTCCACGCAGA